CCGCAAATCTGGGGGCGGAATACGCCAAGAAGTCACTTAAAATGTTCTCAACATAATCTGTTGCGAGACTTCGACTAAAAAAAGCCCTATCGATGCAGAATGTATGTGGCATGTGCTGATATTGATTGGGAAGGATCCAATTTATTTACTGCTATCAGGAGGTTGGGAATTCTCTCTGCAAAGAAACCAACTAAAAGTTGGTACTATGGGGAGCGACTCGCTACAGAATGGTCTTACTGTATGACGAATGGGTTGTTGGCTTCTCCGATAGAGTTGCGGGTTTTTTAGCAGGAATGAATTTAAAATCTTCATGAAAATAATGAATATCCTGGATAGGGGGACATCAAGTGTTGGGTTTCGAATGATTTTCTGTTTGAATCAATCGGCACTCGTGCATACAAATTTTGTTACTTCTTTGTTGTTTATTGTTTCCGTACGATCTTCTACATGTTCTTGATTGAACATGCGCACACATTGTCAGACGCGTCTCATTTTGTGGCTTACCAATGATATTCTTAATAGGCGAAATGACATAGTATTGTGTAAATAACTGGTTATTTTTGTGCACAACAGTAGTGCTAAAAAAGACATCACAACGCTCCAAAAAGCCCGATGATAATAACGACCGTGCAAAGCACATGAGGGGGGGGGGGAGAACCGACGAGCTAGTACTTGGCCGAACCGAAAAGTACTCCCAGCCCGGCCAGAACTGAGGTGGACGGTTTAATATCTGGTTTGTCACTTATTCGATGTCAATAGTGTTTGGTCATGAAGCTCGTTAACCCGATCGACAGTTTTTATATTAGATCTCGTCCCTTACGACGAACATCTGGGTACAACGCGGGAAAAAATGTAAAAGTGAGGATGGTAAACCGGTAGAGAACTACAAAGCCTTTGTGCCCGCAGGCCATTTTGATCAGTACGGGATAATGTATAAAGTTGAAAAGTGTATAAAAGATGAAACAGAGGAATGTGAGCTACCGTTTTGTCCACCAGATAACAACCATATCGGAACTGTTTACCACAAAACTAGTGCGTCGCCTGAGAGGAGCGATTCCCACGTCCGGCTAAATCAGGGAGGCTTTTATTCTGGAAGAGATTATACGAATCAAGTGTCCAGGTGGCGCCATATTACACCCGTATTAGAGACAGTGACGAAGAAGCAATAGCTTTTATTCTAAATTCCAATGCCCTACAAGACTGCCGCTTTCGCCTGCGCTCTTAAAATTCGCAATCGGTTGGATGATGTCACTTGCGGTCAGCGATTATCCGAGGAGCGGGGCGGGAGTTTAAAAATAAGCCATACCGAATGGGTTATGGATCTTGACATAGATCTCACAGAAATGCGGTGCATCTATGACGGTATCGATGTTTAGAATGGCAGTACTAAGCTTTCCGCCATAATAATGCACTGCAAGCTTAGTCCAGTGTAAATGAAGAGTTCATTAATCAAGTTAATTCCTTCAAGTGCTTGGACTCTACTATCCGCTGATATGGTCAAACACGACTACGAATGGTTGTTAGCATCGAAAATCCTGGGAGGGCCTCCCATTTAACCGTATGCCGCCCCGTGGAGACGGGCAGAAATAAGCCTTCAAACGATGCTCCGTGGGTGTACAACGTGACCATCCGATCCATACTGACACACGGGAGACCTAGCTCATATGAGTCGTCGATTTCCCCACACTCGAAACATTCGACCACCGGCCTCTGTAAGTGCTGTAAATATGAGTGCTTAATGGCGTTGCCAGAGAACACTGTTATGCTGTTCTATACCTTACCGATTTGGTCCAACGGGATCGATAACAGCCACTGGGTCTGGCCCGTCAAGCAATAAAGAAAAAACGGATGAGGACGGGTGCAGACATTATAAGCACCTGTGATCTGGAGTATTCAGTATTCAGGCCAACTGGCTCTTTTTTTTTGAAGAAATTTACCGAAAATTAGAGTGAAATAAAGAAAAAGCAAGGATCGCCAATTCTCACCTTTTATCATACTTCAAGATTTTATCCACAGCTTCAGTTATGTTCAGATACGTCTCTGTGATGGATGGAAGAGACGGTCGCTCTGGAAGCGGAATACCGGCATGGTTGAACTCCTTCTCAATTCGCCTGATATCGTTTAAAGTACGCTCGAACATTATTAGGTTGTGTTGTTCCTCTCGGAGTAAATGGTAAGCCACATGAAGCACCTGGGGATAGGACATTTTTTCGATGGAAGTTGGCGTATTGCATGGATAAAGATAGCGTAAATCATCTTCTGAGAAACTGCAGCGGATAAGCTCATAGATGACAGCCAATTCACGCCTTCGATTACGCTCTTGTTCGTTGTGTTCATCTCTGGCTCGCCTATCCGCACGACCAACGGGCAAGGAACCCCCGTGCGTATCAGCCGTCGGAGAAGAATTACCTAGGGGAGCGGTAGCAACTGCAGCAGCCTCGACGGATCCGTGAGGTTTATGGACGGGTGCAAAACGCTTGTTAACGGAAAAGAGGTGTTCATCCTCCGAGAGTACGCAATCATCGGCTAATGGACTTGCTCGTAAATACGGATTCCCATAGGAGCGTCTCCGGTCCAAACGTGGAAACCGTTGCTTACGATGTCGAGAAGCGGAAGGGCGGGAACACATTGAGGTCGAAACAAGCAATTTACAACTTGGCTAAAAATAGAATAAACAGTGCACTATCTCAATGGGACATGCAGTTCAGTTACGATGTCGAGAAGCGGAAGGGCGGGAACACATTGAGGTCGAAACAAGCAATTTACAACTTGGCTAAAAAATAGAATAAACAGTGCACTATCTCAATGGGACATAAATGCAGTTCAGTGGTGCTTAGGGTACGGGGTTAGATTCCATTTCAATTCTACCAATCACCGACGACCTGGCGCAATTCGAGCGACCCCACTGTGGTCGACGATACCAGACAATGGAATATTTGGTTCTGCACCTCCCCTAACTTTCTCGAGAGGGTTCACTCTTCCGACCCGTGCGCACAGAGGACTTCTTCTACCTTAGTCAGTTTTGAAGTATTTGAGCTAATCGTCCAGTGCTCCGCCTACGAAACGTCCAAAAAATTGTATGAAGAGCTTATAGTTTAGTTTATGGCGAGATAGTCGTTCGCCACCCGCTAGCAAACTGAAATTAAAATGCTGGATAGACTGTCGGTCAGTTAGTCTAGGAACTGATATTTCTAGCCAAAGATGGTAATTTTTAAGAAGTAGCTGTTGAACAAATGAAGCCTCATGGTGCAGTCTTCTGAAACTCACGAGACATACGACTTCGACATGGTATACAACAGTGAGAAGTTCCTTAAACTGTTTTTCCTTAAATTCACCGAACAGCCATTGTCATGATGAAACTTGGTTCCTCTGTGACGTGCCTTGCTTATAGGTTAAAACCTACTAATTTCTTGAACAGCACAGTACAGTACATGAACTGTAAAGTGGGCGGACAAAAAACGTGCATAAAAAAGACCATGACAACCACCGGTCTTCCAAGCTACATCGATTTCAATTCAGAAATGGCAACAGTTCAGTCTGCCGGCTACAAACCCTGCATCAAGGATACGTTGGTCCCATGTGCTACAAATTCGATCATCAGAAAGTAGGGCAGTGTAGGACTACAGTCAAGCATTGAAGGCAAAGGTATGTTCAGTTAATTCGTGAGACTGGACATCTATATATTGAAGGCAATAGATCGGAAGCGCCAACACCACTGACTGAATCGCTGGGTCATGTTTGTCAGTGTCAATAAAGACTAAGTTGTCTCAAGGTCCGCATCCTGGAAGGCAACAGCTGTCGACCCGACTCAGTTAACTGGTTGGTGTTTTCATGCTTCTCTGCCAGTTTATACACTGTCTACCTCTCGGTCGCTTCAACTCAGCACGGGGCTGGGCGAAAAGAGCTCTGTGAGACAGACAGTGGAGTACATGGGCTAACCAATGTAACCTGTAAACTGTCTATCATGAGAGAATTCGTTCTTCCTAAAAACACCTGGCCACCTCAGCATCGCTAACCCGACGTTCCCACCAGACCCGACCAATGCTTCGGACACCGGTAGTCAAACATTGACAACTTTCGAGTCGCCTGCGCATAGAGGCCACGTTCTTGATCCATGAAGCAGTATGGATTACACTGCCGCGGATTAAAATCTTCCCCTGATAAAAACGGACGTCACATCGGCACCACAGGTGCCGGAGGTTGGCAAAAGCTGCCCTGGCCTTTTCGATCCTAGAAATAATCTCATCTCCAGCCAGTCCATCGGAACTTATACAGCTGCCCACGTAAACAAATTCATCCACCATGTCGACTGGCTCACCTGAAAGCATGAGGTACGGGTTTGATACCACCCCGTCTTGTAGCAGTATTTTACACTTTGCAAGTGTGGAGCGTATGCTAAACCGTGCGGCAGAGTTATTTAGATTATTTAGGAAGGAGTTTAACCAAGCAGAGCAATTTCGTCTACATATTCAATGCCCGTGAGGGAATGTCCAGGGAGTATTTCGACTCCCGACGTTTCAGAGGCAGACATATAAATCTAAAGCAGCATATTATTAACGAACTTGAAGAGAAAGTGGAAAATATGACAGCCCTGTCTTACATCACCAGACTTGGTGAACTTAGGCGAGAGCTCCCCGTATACTCGTACGCGCCCACAGGAGTTCGCATACAGTGCCCACATAAGGAAGAGAAGTTTGAAAAGGACACCTTTGATCGACAGACACTGTCAAAGTTGCTGACAATCGGCAGAATCAAAAGCAGCTTTCAAATAGAGAAAAACGACCAACGTGGGACGTCTGAAGGAGTGGTGCTGTTCAAGAATTCATCTCAAGGTAAAGATATGATCGATGCATCCTCGACCTAAACGAAACCCAGCTTGATTCTCACGCATCTGTCCATCAACCTGCACAAAATAATATGACGGATACCAGGCTGATACCACGATGGTCTTTATATGACGTTCTTGCTCCCTTGTTGAGAACTGGGATGACGGTCGAGGAGCTGCATTCGGCTGGTATTGTTCCAAATCTTCTGCGGTACGGTTGTCGGACAGTTCACCAGGACATTGTCACCTCCTTTGAAGAGCGCGGGGTGTAGATCATCCAAACTAGGTGCCTTGACGCGCTTCAGGATTGAAATTTCATGCTGGATTTCGGTTGTTGATGGTGAGTTGGTGTCAGTGTTCCATTCGGAGCCGCTTGGTTCTTCCAGCGGTTGTGTTGAAGGAGACTAGGTGAACTGTTCTTGGAAGTGCTGAACCCACCGTTCAAGACGGCGATTGAAGGTGAATTGCCGTTCCGTCCTTTTTGCATATTTTCTCACTGACATCTACCTTCTTTTGACCCGTTGATCGAATGAGTTAAAACAGGGCGCGGCTGTTGCCTGCAGCTGAAGCTTTCTCCATCTCCTGGGCCTTTGAAATCCACTAGCGTTCTCCGTCATTCTTTAAGCTCCTGATTATCCAGCGTTTGAGAGATCTGTGTGCGCTATCTAGTCGCGAGTTGCTGGTGTGGCCTTTCTGGCAGCAATAAGATCTGCTGATCTCGAAGATATCCAGTGTTCACTGAGTCGAATCAGATGGGCTGGTCAAAGAGTTCTGAAAGCTGACAGCATTGCTCCTTTAATTCGCCTCCATTCATGCTCCAAGCAATCTTCGTCGTCATGAATGTGCGTCTACAGTAGCTTTCTAGGCAGATCAGCTCGATCTTCTTCAGCTACTGGAACTTGTCGAAGTTGATGAACGGAGTTGCACTCTTTCGGTATGCGTAGTGTTGGTGGAAAGCGAAGTGCTAAGCAGGCCCGCAAGATGGCGTGTTTAGAGTCAAGTTGCGCACCCCATAAGGAACGACAGTCCTTAACTGAGACTCTCCATCGGTAATTGATAGCCATATGGTCCAGATGAGTCCACGACTGTCTTGTGGAAGATGGCCTCCAAGTAACTCCGCGTGTGCGTTTGTGTTGGATGTTTGTACTGTCCAGCAACAGACGATGATCTGCACACCGATGAAGTCGCTCTCCTTTATCTGTACACTTAGCATAGACTCCAAATAAACCATCTAACTGTGCTTCTTCCGGACTTATCGTCAAACCTGGGTACTCATGTTACCCGCCAAGATTACTATATCCGTCCTTCTTGTTGACCGAAGCAGTCGTGGCATATCTTGATAAAACTCGCCCTTCTCAGTCTCAGAACCGCTATCTGTTGGGGCGTATGCTGGTACGATAAACAAACATGATTTGCCGCATCGACCTGCATTAGTTTAATCGAGCCAGAAGACCGCACAGCGAAAAAGCGACTGTTTATTGGGATACAGTCCAGTAAGGAGGCTTCAGCCTTTGGATTGAGTGGAACTCCCACACCGTAGATACTACGAGTCATTCCATCAGGACCACCGGGTGCCAGAAGAGTGAAATGTGGAACATCTGGGCTCGTCCTAAGTGGCTTGGGGAGCATGACTAAAGTGGGGTCTTGTATGCGTGTTTCGGAGACACAATATACATTGACAGAGAGGAGAAGTAAGGTTTCAGCAAGGAATACATGTTGCCTAGTTTGGCATAGAATACGGACATTAAAGGCTACAACAGGGATCTGATCTTTGTGGGTTAGTAAGTGATTATTTTGGTCTATTTTTGTGTTTTTTTAGATAAGTAGCTAGGCGGTAGGCAGATGGGTTGATTGAACTATTGTACGATGGGTTGGGAGGGAATGAGAGGGAAGGCCAGTGAGAGAACAGCTGCAAGGGCAACTGATACTTTGCGGGTGTTCAGGCCAAGGGAGTTTAGTTGAGGTACCCCACATTGAGCTTTTGACTCAAAAACCTGAGCCACAAGGTACTGGGAGGATGTAGGGTTATGTTCGGAGACCCTGCGCCTAGCTTCTGACCAAAGAGTCTGGGCCGCGAGATACCGGTTGTTAGAGGTTTTTCGGAGGACCCTTCCCGACCTACTTGGCTGTAGGGGACCGGCCTCACCCGAGGTCGCAGTGAGAAGGGCATTACCTAATGCGGCTGCGCATAGCATGTGCCTTTTGAAGAGCACCAGACTCTTTGATTTTAAAGTTATTTTGACCGCATTGAATGGTGCGCCGGTGGTCACGATCAACCTTTGGGCGATCGGAGTGTGCGGCTTTTGGGCCCGAACTTTTCTAACACGTCCTTCCTCAAGAAAAAGCAGCATCGCTGCTTCCATAAGTATGGACATGCTGGTCGTCTTGGGGAAACGCCTTACTGGCTTCACACTCCAATTGCAAAGGAAAGTACAATTTTACCTCCAGACGGCCTCATATACGATTACTCGCAGTATGGGGACTCGCTGTTCTTCGTCGGGCTGCTCCCCGTCGGCCTTCCTGGCATGGTTGAACCTACACGAACTGAGTTCCAACCAGTATAGCCCACAGAATCATTGCAGCGCAGAAGCCCGACCACCACGACAAGGTGACAGCTTTGGGTAGGGTCTTAACTGGCTAGAGTGGAACACACATGGAGCTTGTAAGCCTGCTTCGTGTCCGGACATAACACGCTACCCATAGTATTGTAGGAAAATACTCGGCGATCCGGGCCCGGTTTCGCTCTTCTGTGGCTCATCAGATAGCGCAATCTCCGCCCTTAACCCAACCTTATGTCTTACTTGAACGCACACGAAACGAAATATGCTCACTTGC